ATCGTTCATATCCGCCGTAATTAGTGCAAATTGCAACTATTAGCGACGTCAAAAAAGTCTAGCCAAGCTGCACTTTCACACGATGCGAGCGCGTAAGCGGAAATAAACAAAATAAACTATACAGGCCCCCTCCCCAGAAAGGAAAACAATGGAAAAGAACACGTTGCGCACGGGCGGCCAACGTCAATAAACTGAGGCGTACGGCGAATCATATACATTTTCGATTCGCTGAAGTCCAGCGAACGCGGAAAAGTTTCCGATTTCTGGAGAGTCAAAAGTTTTTAGCCGGACATGTGGTGTGTGCAGCATATGCAGCATTCTGCAGATACACGGCACACCAGTGCAGATACAGATACAGATACATTTACGTATAGAGGAGGGCAGATTGATTATTTTCTACCTTTGTTGTTTGGTTGAAAGCGGGAACTGGGAGAGCACTGCTCACGCAACAGGTTAATTGAGAAGTGACCGATGGGAATGAAGCTTTTCAGACAGCATCAAACTAAATCCAAAAGATACACATGCGCAATCGCTCTCACACTCTCTTTGTATCTTCAAAACAATGCAACAATCTCTGCACACGTACACTTTCACTTGGCAAAGCTTTCTCCACGGAGCTTTGCTGGCCTTTAGACTTTTTCGCCACCTTATTTTGGCCAAAAAGTTCATTCTGTTTCGAGTTGTGGCATTTTTCAGGCGTGCGAAAATTCCTCAGCTCACCAAGAATTTTCCCCAACCATTTTGGCCACCTTAAAGTAGTTAAAATAAGGCAGGAAAGCAAGTGAACAAATTCGAATATAATAATCCAGGTGAGTTTAAGCCCAAAAGTATACTATGGCTAGCACTACAAGTGCCCCAAGTGGAAAAACCTTGTGCCAGAGCTGGAAAATTGTGTATCCATGGGGGCTTCCTGTAAGCAAATACACACTCCTGTAAAGGAACAGGAGGTGGTGGAAATTAAAGCTGACCAGTGTGACACACATTGGGTGAAAGCAGCTGGAGAAGTGGCACCTACACGCTGCTCGTAAATTATGCAAAATATAATTATGGTTATGCGAAAGCAAGAGTGGGAGCCTTGCCAAGAAAGACTGGCACACACACTTGACCTCCGAGGCAAGCCACTCGAGTCGGGCACACAAGACACTGCAGGGACATGGGCCTTTGTGGGCCAGTGGGTGGCGCACGTAGCAGCCCACCCACCCATCCACCCAACCACCCCCTCACACAAGTGCACGTTGAACTTGAGAAAAGAGCAGAGAAAAGCCACGGGCGGAAAATAAACGAATCAATGGCAGAATCTCTAAGGAGGAACTAGTATCTCAGTTGGAAATTCTATTTAGGTTTATTAAAAGACCTTAATGGGTTTCACAAGTATTACAAGTGTCATTTCATGGCTTGCAATTAGCCAAAGTGCTTCACCTTTACATTTTCATTATTTTCCTATTGATTGTGTTTAATATTATGCAACAAAATGGGAAATTTTTACTAAATTTACAAGATACCCATTCATGTGGGTTTAACTAACAATTTTATAATATATTAGTCAAATGGATCCTATAAAAACAATAATTAAAAAAATTTATTAAGGTTGAAACTGCTACTTTGTATTACCAAATTTAAGTATAACCAATAAAGTAGTAGAACTCTTAAACAAATATATCCAAATAAGAACTATGTAACTTAAAGAAAAAGTTTATTGAAAGCTCCTAAAAAGGAAATAAGTTTCAAAATATTAAATGATTGATTTGTTGACAATAATTGAGTTGTTGATATAGCCACCAATACCCTGACTCCTTTTCAATCCCCAAAATAGATCGAATAGAGGCCACTTGAGCAGCGAGCACGCAACATGGCGTGTCCTTTCTTCAGGCGAGCGGATTCGCTGACACGTCAGCCCTCGGTCATCGCCGAACCCGGTGGCCACTGGCCACTAGAGGACGAGGAGCTATCGGACGACGCCCTGACCCTCAAGCACCTCCAGATGGCCATTCAGCTGCTAACTGCACCGTCGAACGAGGATCTCAACACGGCAGTCACCTCTTTAGTGGCCAAGTACCGCCAGAACTGGCCCAACATTCACAAACTGTGAGTAAGAGCAATTAGATTGATTAAGTATGCCCTGAGCTCAATTAATTTATTGATTTAGGTTAGCAAAAGCAACAGTTTAAGGTACTACTTTAGATCTAATGTTTTGGAAAAAATGTTTTTTTTTTTTAAGACCATTTCAAAACGAATATATACACGTAACAGAATTAAACATCTTTAAAATGTTACAAACAATCATTTAACATTTTACAAAAGACCCGGTTAACAAACTACTTGCATGTATTGATTTGGTTGAACTGATTTTTTTTAAGACATGTAGTTTGTATCATACTTATCTATCTTAAAAAACTAAGAACCATTGAACTTTAATTTAAAAATTATTAAAAAGACTTTTAGGTATTAATAAATAATTGCTATGACATACAACATTGTAATCGGATGCATTAGTTTGTAATTTTCGTATACTAATTTATTTTGAACTCCCCTAGAAAACTGGATCCGCAAACCTTCAAGAGCTGCGCCAACTATGACTACTTGGCGGACATTCAGGAGTTGCTTCTGAAGATGGACGAGGCGAGTGCCAGCGAAATCCTGGTGCTTCTGGGTGAGGAGCTAATCACCTGTTGCTGCACGGGCATAATCGAAAGGGCCTTTCGCTGCCTGGGCACCGATCTGCAGGAGTTTCTGGGCTCCCTCGATGGGGTTTACGATGTGCTGAAGCTGCAGGAGGTAGGCCACAATTAACACCCATTAATATTACTTTTCAATTGAAAAAAAAACACTATAATAATCAGGAGGACGTGACCGATACTGGCTTTGTATGTGCCGGCGAGGGAGAGCTGATCTTCACCTCGGAGCGACCGGTGATCGCCTGGCTGCTGCTGGGTTCCCTGAAGGCCCTCACCCGCATGCTCTACAAGGTGGATGTGAACATCAAGATCGAGCCCGTGGAGGGCGATGCCCGTCGCTATCGCTATCTCTTCTCGCTGGTCAAGGATAACTCGCAGACCCTGCTGATGGGTCGTCCCATTAAAACGATACCGGAAACCGTGCAGAGGAGCAACTCCAGCAATGCCTCGGACCTGCAAATGAACTCGTCCAGTTTCTGCAAGATGTTCCCCTGGCACTTCATCATGAACGAGCAGCTGGAGCTGGTGCAATTGGGCAGGGGATTTAGCAAGCTGTACAAGCCGTATATGGCGGACTTTGGATGCCAGGCGAGCACCTACTTCGATTTCAAGCGCCCCAAGGGATTGACCATGAAGTTCCGCGACATTGTGAGGCGCACCTACACGCCCTTCCTGATTGGCTTGAATAATCCGCCAGGGGCAGTGGATTTCCCGGCCATAGGACTGGAGATCAAGGGTCAGATGGTGCACTGCCCCGAGTCGAACTCGCTGCTGTTCATTGGCTCGCCATTTTTGGACGGCCTGGATGGCCTGACCTGCAACGGACTCTTCATCTCGGACATCCCGCTGCACGACGCCACCAGGGAGGTGATCCTGGTGGGCGAGCAGGCCAGGGCACAGGACGGATTGCGGCGGCGCATGGACAAGATCAAGAACAGCATCGAGGAGGCCAACTCGGCGGTGACCAAGGAGCGAAAGAAGAACGTCAGCCTGCTGCACCTCATCTTCCCCGCCGAGATAGCCGAGAAGTTGTGGCTGGGCTCCTCCATCGACGCCAAGACCTATCCGGACGTGACGATCCTGTTCAGCGACATCGTCGGCTTCACCAGCATCTGCTCCAGGGCCACGCCCTTCATGGTGATCAGCATGCTGGAGGGCCTGTACAAGGACTTCGACGAGTTCTGCGACTTCTTCGACGTGTACAAGGTGGAGACCATCGGGGATGCCTACTGTGTGGCCAGTGGCCTCCACCGCGCCTCCAAATTCGATGCCCACAAGGTGGCCTGGATGGCCCTCAAGATGATCGATGCCTGCTCGAAGCACATCACCCACGACGGCGAGCAAATCAAAATGAGAATCGGCCTGCACACGGGCACCGTCCTCGCCGGAGTGGTGGGCAGGAAGATGCCAAGGTACTGCCTCTTTGGGCACAGCGTCACCATCGCCAACAAGTTCGAGTCCGGCAGCGAGGCGCTCAAGATCAATGTCAGTCCCACCACCAAGGAGTAAGTCTTAAATATTTTGGATTGACGAAAATAAGTAAATGAATAACCAAGCTTCTCAGAAGTCTATAAATTAAAAAGCACTAAAGGTCTACTTTATTTGAGTAAAACTTTTAAAACGTTTTATATATTATTATATTACTTTGTTTAAAAAAATTACATTTAAAAATTTATTTGGAATTTAATCCACTCCCAAGGAGGTCAACTTTAAACATGGGCGATTTCCTTCAAACAGTAAAAATAGTATTAAACTTTTATTCTGGATTGTTCTTTAAAAAAAAAATACTTCATTTATCACTAAGGCAAAGCTCTATTTTTGCAGCGGTTATTTAGTTTAATTTAATTTTGGAACATAAAAATTTAAGTTGGAAATTTGCAAAAATATTTGATCATTAATTAAAGTTTTTTTTTAATCGTTAAAAATATGGTTAAAGTTTTGTGTAAAATATTTCTGAACCTATTGCTCTCTATTTTTAGTTGGCTAACCAAGCACGATCGCTTTGAATTTGACCTGCAGCCGCGGGATCCCTCGTTCCTGCCCAAGGAGTTCCCCAATCCGGGTGGAACCGAGACCTGCTACTTCCTGGAGAGCTTCCGAAATCCGGCTTTGGACCCTGGACTGCCGCTGGTGGAGCACATCGATGTGGCCATGAAGACCATATCGGAGGGCGGCGATGCTTAGGTAGCTTGGGCAGCTTAGGATCCCCGATCCGTAAACCCAAACCTTCCAATTGACCCCCACACGCTCAGTAATCGTAGTTCGGTGCACTTGTATTGTGGTTTTGCCTGTTGCCCTGCTTAGCCTATAAAACAATAAACTATGTTTGCATTCCAGCACAATAGATTGACACACACTTTATTTTGGGGTGGGGGTAGGGACTATTTTGGATCTTAGGCGGCGGCCTTCTTCTTGGCCTCCTCCTGCTTGGCCTTGACAAAGGCCTTGACCTTGTCGCCGATCTTGCTGGCCATCATGCACTGGTGTCCGCGGAAGGCCCACACGTCCGTGGGACTCTTCTGCGCATTGTCGTCGATGCAGCCCTGGGCAATCTGGAGGGCCTCCTCCTCGGACAGGTCCATCTTGAACTGCTTGGCCAGGCGGTCGGCATGGTAGCCCTGCTCGCTGCAGAAGATCTCCAACTTGGTGGCCGTGCAGGCCAGATACTGGCGCACATCGGGCTCGTCGGGGAAGACCAGGTTCTTCAGCTGGGCAATCTGGTCACCGCTCAGGGGAGTCTCCTTCAGGCACTCCACCCGGATGTTCCGGATCTCCTCGCCAGTTTTGGGCTTCCACTCATCGGCATGGGCCTATTTAAAATACGATTCAAACAATTAATTATAAGTTTAATCTATTTTATGTCTAATGACAAAGTCGAACGTTTAACACCAACTAAGAAAATTAATAATCTATTAAAAGTTATATAATCAAATAAAATATTACGTATTAGTATTGAAAATGTTTTCGTACAAGTATCACAGGCATTTAAATAGTTTAAAGACAACTTCGTAGCCGTGTTGGTTCAAATCTAATCTGATTTCTAATCTCGAGCAAAATCTTTGATTCACTGTTTAATTCCTGTATTTTATTAAATTGGTTTTCTAAATCTTTTAGCCAGTATAAATATACAAAAATATAATAAATTAAATTTTAAATATGCAAAGATTACGTTGCAAACGTAAAAGATAATGAAGCAATGCTTATAAGCATGAATTAATTGGTAATATTTTTAGCACAAGAGTAAACATCTGGATTTACTAAACGTAAATGTAAATTCTAAGCTTTTAAGAAAAAAGCAAGACCAAAATTCATATACAACCGTTTTCAAAGCACTTTTACTTCAATATTTTTACATGTATTTTATTTTCAGCAAGGATTTGAACAGATAAATAGTTTTGTTTCTTTTTGTACTGTTTTTATTTACTGTTTTAACTTATTGTAAGCTAATGTAAACATCCAGTTATGAGTAGTTCGCCTCTGTTACTTTTTATTTAATATATTATATACACACCACAGCGCACAGGGCCAGAGCGACGATTAGATACTTGAGCATATTGGATTATATTTATATTGTACGATCGCGTTGTAGATGAAGTTCTGAACTGAAGCGCCGTCGGCTAAGTACCCGGCTTTATAGCTGAGCCACTGATGATCGCTAATCGCCGATCGCTCGATGTCTATATGTCTATATAGCTACATTTCTATGCTCTCCCCAGATTCTGTGTGTCAAGAGTTCACCAGCTTATCGCTCCAGTCCAGTTCCCAAGCTCATTGTTTAATTGCATTCCCGCCAGCTGATAACTCTCGAAAGAGACCCAGACTTACACAGACTGGAATCGAACATTTGCTCAGCTCTATGTGCTATGCAAAACTTGTTTGTTGATTAACTTGTTTATTGAATAGATTTTGTGATTAGTGCTTACTATTGCCAGTAGTGCTTCGAACTAAAGCTTTACTTTGCATTAGTTGCTGATATTGAGTCACTAGTTATCTTCACGTTAAATCACTCATGTGGAGGTAAACTATTTCCTGTTTCGTAGCAAAAACACTTTATTGTGTATCTATTCTCTCTATGAGTTTTGTAATGTAACTTATGATGAATTTCCAGATGGTTTTTAAAGTTTAATCTGCACTTGAGGAAATTCCCAACTCAAAACATTGGGGTTCATTTTATAAATTCATTAGAGAGCTATTGATTAAAACAAATTGACAAGATTTTATGTACATTCATTACTTTTTTGATAAAACAGAAGTAAACACAATTACTTAGTCGTATTTTTGGATTTTATCCTCTGATTAAGGAGTTCTTACAAGGTTTTGGAAACTATTAAGATCATATTTAATAATAAACGCCAAATAAACAGTATTTAACTTATTTCTGCGCTAATAATTTCTCTGTATGAACCAGCTACAATAAAAATCTGTTTTTCGTCATGACATTGCACTTGACCCCTTATCAGTTCTCTGGGCTAAGCCAAACCCCCGATTTTTGAAATAGCGACGCACATAGTAAATAGCTAATGCTGATAACAGGAATCGCTAGCCGCTTTCACCCATTTTAAAATGAGGAGCCATCCAAGTGGCCAACTGTCAATTCGACGGCCATTATGCAACCCCATGCAGTCGTATTTAATTAAATCAAATAAAATTCACAGCTGGCCGTCGAGTTCAATATTAAATACGGCCGCAGGCGACCGAGAGATGTCATTACTATGGGATGATTTCGAGCACTATATTATGTGTATATGTTGGATAGTAGTTGGGTAAGGCGAAAACCCGATGGTTCGCTGGGAACCACGCGCCCTTTAACTAACAACAGTTGCCTCAAAGGGGCATACTGCTCTTCACAACTATTATTATTATTATTCAAAGGAGGCGAGTCCTTAACTGAGGGTTAGATAGCGGGGTTAAAAAATAGCGAACACGTCGGGTAGGTCGCAATCGGAAACAGTGTTTATGCGAGTACCCCAAACAATGGTCATGATTACCATCGCTGCGGAGTTCTCAATTTCTCTCCCCCGGCATTGTGTTATTGTTGTGTTATTAGAAAAATTATACAAAATATATATATATGCAGACTGTTGGGTGAAAATTATATTAACACCCTGAAGAGCGTGTCAATGGCCAAAGTCAGGAAGAGAATGTGTTGGATATCTCAAATTACTGGGCTGAGAAAGGGGATTTAGATTGGAAAACTGCAGTTAACGATTACATAATCGTCCTGTCGGTGGTGTCAAATGTTTGGCTGCCGGAATTCGCAATACTGTATAAATTGTGAGCCCCCTGAGCCTTTTATTGTTTGAAATTCGAGTTTCCTGTAGGCATTCGAACTGTGAATGTGATATGAAGTTTTTTGTGAGCCTGATTTCAGGTAATTTTGGACATTTGGCGTGTGTCATGTGAGAAGGTTTGTTTGGGCCAATCCTTTTGTCACAATATTAGCACGAAATCTGTTCCAAATGTTACTGTTACTACGTAAAAAACGGAATAAGTTAAATGATTATTTTTTGGGATTTTAATTTGCACCAAAAATGAAAATGTGTAAAAAAATATCAAATAACAACATAATTGTTATTGCTGAAATTAGATACTATTAAATGTTCAAATTTTATAATAATAAACTTAAAATTCAACAATTAGAAACCCAAGGTTATCAAACGGAATTTTAAACTTTGTCATTGCTATTATTTTGACCCCAACTGTGTGCATCTGCATATGACAGTGCACAATTCTAGCAACTTGCCAGCAAAGATTTCAGTTAACAAAATGGCAGCCACCAGCCACACACAAAGTTTCCTTGAACTTTTAACAAAATTTCACGTTTCCATGGGTTTCCGGTCGGTGTTTTCTTTTTCTTCACTTCTTTTTTCATTGCCTTTCCCGCAAGAGGAAGACTTCCGCCGCAAGAAAAGCAAAATGTAATTTCATGGCTCGCTGAACGAATCCGAATACAAGAGAGTTCAAAGTTTCAGCTTTTGGCCAGGCCAAAGGAGCAACAGAGATGGGGCGAGAGAGAGAGAGAGAGAGACTGTCACAGGATGCTGGCAGGACTTGAAAGCGCAGGAAGTTATTTAATGAGATTTTCTTTGCGTCAAAGATAAGTCGAAGGAGCAGCAATCCCAAAGCCTGCAATCTTGTAAAACAATATGCAAAACACGCGGGCGGGGCTGGTGTCTCTATCTGTGATTGTTATTGTCGAGCTGAGGGAGACGAGCTGAAAAGGATAAGCCCAGGACGAAGGATGAAGGACGTACGACAATTGTTGCACACACTCGAAATTAAATTAACTTTTTTCGACCCTGTCCATTTTGGAGTGCCGCCGTCGCCTGCATTGTTCAAAACCAACTGCCGCTGACAGTTCCAAGTTCCGAAGGGGAAGTTGGGCGGGCATTCCGACCTGGCTAACCCACACAAGACCCACTAGAGACCTTACAGAACTAGAGACAATCATCGACTTCAACGATTGCTCAAATATTGGCTTGGGGTCGCGGCACCAAAAAGAAACCATAACCGAAAACCAAAAACCAAAAACCGACATCCAAAAACCAAAAAACAAAACACAAAGCAAACAAATCGCAATCGAATTGTATGAATGGGGAAATGACGCAATGAAATCTCATTAGCCGCATGTCTTCAAGTTTCAGTTTTAATTTTGTACAATATCTCGGTGTGTGTCGGGGTAAAAAGATCTTTCTCTGTATATATTTTTTCGGGGGTCTTGATCAAATAATTTTGCGGCCACTGCATGTTAAATATTTGTCAACATTTTAAGGCACTTTTCCACTGTTCCCCCTCCAAGTACTCCTCCTCCCTTTTGTTTTTTTTTGTCTTACCCGCTGAATCAGAAGCAGTTGAGTTGGCCACTTGAGATGTCCGTCGGAGTCATCAAAAGAGCCCAGAGATGCGAGTGTGTGGCACACAGAGCGAGTGGTCAAGACCCTGGTTAAGTAAAGTAGCAATGATCCCGGAGTGATTTCAACTTTCCTCCTCAAGAGGGCCCTGCCAACGGCTACTTATTACATCTCCAACAACACATGCGTGTCTTCTATTTGTGCCCAAGATCAGCATTTCCTTTACTCGAATTAAATACCCTTGTTAAATACCCTTGTTAAATACCCTTTACAATTATTATTAGTTTGAGTTTCTTTTAACATTGTGTAAGCTGCTTATTTGCTGTTTATTGGGGGTTCCTAGCGCCTATAAAAATTAATTTAAGCTATTTTATTTTTTAAGAACAAATTAAGAAGGTTGTGAAATGAATTACAAATTTTATAAATTATAAATTATAAATAACTAGAATTATTTTGTTATGCCTTAATTTCAAATATTTTAATTTATTGTTATTATTGTTTTCACTAAATAATGAAATTAAAACAAAATTATTTCCAAACTAAAATGAACTGTCTGCATTCCTGACAAGACATTGGGTAATTGTTTGTTTATCCCTCTTCTAGAATCTATCTGTATTTCTGGCTTGCAAAGGGTATTTATAAATCCATACATCTCTTTTGATTGATTTCCATTTCTTGCTATGATTTTTTGTTGATTTCATTTCCATTGTTGTTGCCATGCTGCGCATGTTGCCTTGGCTGTTGATTATTATTTTGTGCCACTGTGTGCGCGCCTTATATTGTTTGTACTGGACCGCCGCCTCTCCCCCTGCCCCCACCGTATCGCCACCCCCTGCCCAAGCCCCTCCCCTTCCGCCTTCAGGGACCCGCTCAAGCGTGAAGAGAGACAGCCAAGCCGTCGACATAATGGACATGTTTCAGCTTTTGTTGTTCGCAGTACACAAAGGACAAAAAAGGAAGATATGCGTTAAAAGTTGTTTAGTTACCAACAAATTATAAGGCTCTTCTCTAAAACTAATATAACTAAGGTTTGCGCCCTTCTAAAACAATAATAAAACTATTATTTTTTTTTTTTGGTTATATTATTAATTTAACTGCAAAATTAAAAGTTATAAACTTTTTTTTTATATATATATAAAATAATCTAACAAAAACCCACTTTAAACTGTTAACTTAACTTTATTATGTTTTATCTTTTTTATTATTTTTCAGGTATATATATATACGAATGTGTGAGTGTCATACTAAACAAGTTTCTTTACCACTTTGTATATGAAATGTTAAAGTTTTATATATATTTCTCTCAGTGGAACAACAACAACAAAGTAAGTTGTCATCTCCAGCGCTGCTCAACTAATTTGCATATTTGGTCGCAGTAAAAACACTTTATAAGTGGCCACCCAGGGCAGCTTGTCTCCGCGCGTGTGTGCGTGTGTGAATGAGTCTGTGTATATAGGCGTACTTTAAACAAAGTTAAAATGCGAGAAATTGGCCCTGCGCAAAACACCAGTAGCTCCACGGTAGCAGCAAAACCAGCAACACCAGCAAAAGCAGCAACTTCTAGCCATTTACTGTTGCCAAGAACTGTGACCTGGCCAAAAAGACAAAGTCAGTGGAACTGGAACTGCCCCCAGTTTTAGTGAGAGCGTGTGGGTATGTGTGTGGAGGTCCTTAGGCTGCATACAAACATATAAACCACAACACAGACAGACTGGAAACTTGTTTCTTTTGGCCAACTTGTACAACATTGTTGCCGCTTTATGTTCTTCTTTTTGCAGAGTGTATGTGTGAGAGGCATGGCTCCGCCCCTTCTGGTAGGCGGAGTCTCTCCAAGAGAGCGGGAGAATCACACGGAGAGGAACTCAAAAAAAGCAGAGAGGGAGCGAGGTAGAGCATTTCCGGCGGAGAGCGAGAGATTCAGGCGCGCGCAATGTAATGTCGCTGCTTCTTTCGCACACGTGACTGTCTCGTTTGTTCAACACTCGTACACAGTTTGTTTCAATTGCAATTATTTTGTAACATTCCAATAGGCCAGAGCGACCCACCGCCCCAAAAAACAGATATTATACATATATAGTCTCTTTCCAACGCAGCAGGATACAAGCCACATTATGTAAAGGAAGCTTTATTTTAAATGATTCTTTTTTATAATTTTACACATATTTTTTGAAATTCTTAAAGTAACAATTTAAAATTATTATTTAAAATAAACATATTAATTAATAAATTTAATTATACTTGTGATTTAATTGTACTTTTATTTTCTACAATTGTTGTAGTAATGTCTTGATTTCTGGTAGATACAACTTATGATGGATTAGAACAAAGCTTATATTACTGAAATAACAACTAAATTAAATGAAGTGAAGCTGAACAGTAATTTTAGAGCAGTTATGAAACAAAGCACATTTTTATAAGTGAATCTCAAACAATTAAAATAGCCAAACTTAAAGAATAAACTCAACTAAAATTTGCATACAATAGTTTTATCCAAAACCTTGAAGTCAACCAATTGAGTACACTTACGTTTTGTGCATTACTTCAAGTATAATGTGCAAATAAACAATTATTTGGGTATCTGCACTAGGTGATTTTATTCATGAAGATTTTAGCACGCACTTCAGACATTTAAACAGCGGCAGCTGGAAATGAAAAGCAAGTGGCTATGTGCCAGAAGCCAAAGCCGAAACTTTATTTTTTGCCCCAGGGGGGGAGGTTCAAGGAATATATAGGGGTCTGGGAATATTAGATACACCCCGAGCATAAACTCGGTGCCACTCGAAAAGCAACAACTGCGCTGCCAACTGTGTCAGTTGAGTGTGTATGGGTGTGTGCGTGTGTGTGCTTGCTAGCCATGCCAACCAGCGGCGAGGTCGCAACAACAACGCTTTTGGTTGGCTATTCCATTAGTGCCCGGGGCCCAAAGTGCTCTCACACACAGCGAGGAAAAATAAAAAAGAAATTGTGAAACAAAGGCAACAAAGAAAATGAAAGAAACCCCAAACAACCACCAGTGCACCACTACTAAAGCACCACCATGCCATAGACATAGAACACCACCACCATCATATGGCCAACCAAACCGGAGTGCTCTCCCTCCACATTACTCATACGCCGCGTCGCCGCCGAACGCCGCCGTCGCCGCCGCCGCCTCGAGTGCACAATTTTGTATACAGTACCAAATTAGATTTGAAACTTTTTTCTTAATTGCCAGCTCCTCTGCAGCCGTCGCTGCCGGCGTTGCAGCCAACGGCAACGCCGACGCAGGCAGCTGCGCCACACAAAGGTGGTTGCAACACTCTCTGAATCTGAATCCGAATCTGCGTCCGTATCCTCCAGATAAATCCCATATATACACATTCGGCTGTGTGTACTTTCAACCCTCGATTCGCCAGCCGCTTTTGTATTGGTAAATGTTGCCGCTTGCCGCCATTGCTGAACGTCGCCGTCGATTTTGCTGCCGTGCGCTGTGGCCTTTTGGCCAAAAAGTTGAATCAGTTGCAATCGAGGGCTCAGTGTGTCATGTCGTCAGCGCGCGCGTCGATCCCCAGAAATATGTCTCAACTATAAACAACGGAAATTAATAGTTGATATATAAAATATAACGAAAACACGAAACTAACCAGCAGTAAAAACAATAGAACTACAAACAAAAACCAAAGTGAATTGTGTGCTTAGAAGTTCTTTACTTCAATAAGAGTAAAATATACATAGTTTGTTAATCCAATTCCACAATCGTTATGAGTCTGCCGTCGGGTGTGGACATGCAAAACCTGATGTCCCAGCATCCAGTGCTCGGAGCACTGCCACCTGCTTTTTTCCTGAGAGCCGCCTCGGAACGCTATCAAAGGACTCCCAAATGCGCCCGCTGCAGGAATCATGGCGTGGTAGGTCCTTCGAGACTGTGCCATCTGCAATTTTGGGACTTACACTCAATGCATTTCCGTTTCTTTCGAACCCTTGCAGGTCAGCGCCTTGAAAGGTCACAAACGGTATTGCCGCTGGCGGGATTGTGTCTGCGCCAAATGCACGCTAATTGCGGAACGCCAACGCGTCATGGCTGCTCAGGTGGGTTTTGCATAGAGTTATATACAACAATCTGGACAATTGAAAAATAATTAAACAACTACTAATTGTCATTGTAACACTATGAAGACTTTACAAAACTCTATTCAAGCAAAAATCCTTACTTGGCTTAAAAGCTATATCTAGTTTTTCTTTAATAATGATACAATAATATGACAAATCAATCTAAATTTAAGAAAAATGGTCGTAGAAAACTTTTTCTTCAGAGTTCCAAATTTAAAGTATCACTAACTAGTATCACCAATATCAATAACTTTATTAAGAAGAATGTTTCGTTAACAAAGAAAAAGTTTTTCTTACTAATCTTATCCTACATTTTAGACCTACCTAAAACGACATTTTAAAAGGTTATACCACTTTTTCTAGTAGGAAACTTAGTGACGGCTTAAAACCCTTTTAAAAATATTACAATTTAAATCACAAGCAAAATTGTAGGCTATTTATACAGCAGCTGATGGTTTAATCAAGTTCCCTAATACACTTCACTGATCCAAGATCCGTTTTCCACCCTTTCCCTCCTTGTTGCAGGTCGCCCTCCGTCGCCAGCAGGCGCAGGAGGAGAACGAGGCCCGCGAACTGGGTCTCCTTTACACCTCGGTTCCTGGCCAGCAGAATGGCAGCGACAGTGCCACGCCCACGCCGCACAGTCCCAATCACAGTGGCAGCGGCGGATCGGCCAGTGGAGGATCGGGCCAAAACGGCGTCTTTCACGGCGGCATTCCCTCGCCACCGAGCGACGGCTTCGAGGCCAGCTCCACGCCCAATCATCACCAGCAATCGCAGCAGCAACAGTCGCACCACCAGCAGCCACACAACCACAGCCACAGTCACAACCACCAGCATCAGCATCAGCCGTCCCAGCGGTTCAATGGCAATGAATCCGACACGGAAGGACGCACCCGGTCCGAGCACCTCAGCGTGGGCTTCTCGCCCACGAGAACCGAGTTAGACGAGAGTCCCGGTAAGTTGAAGAAATAATATTACAAAGATTACACCGAAAAAAAATTTCTTTTTACTCAACGTTCTGATACTATTCAGTTCTAGAGATTGACTTGATTCTATCAAAGTTAATTTATATTTTAAATTTTTCACAATAAAAAAACAGAAAGTTTAGTTTTAAGAAGTGTGTCTTGAAAAAATTGCAGACAGTTTTAAAGTATAAATATTAATTCAATACTATATAATATAAGCCCTATATTTTTATTTTATTTTTTTCTAAGGTCTTATTTTCAACATATATAAGTTTTCTTTTGATACATTCATGGTATTATTTAATTCTCATCTTGTGGGCTACTTTTTCATACCAAGTAATTTAAAAGTTTTGTAACAATAGTTTAGTTTCTCTGACCATTTTGGTTTGAGTCAGAGAAACATTTATAAATTATTATAAATTATTTCCTGTGTAGACCCTTAAAAAGCCCTTTACGCCTGGCCTCGTGCAAAAGAGGGCTTCAAAATCTTGGGCGGCAAGTGAAAAGCGCGTTAAGAAAAATTTGTTTTCGATTGTTAAGAAATCAGCGGTGCATATAGTGCCACACTCGCGCTTGCATGTGCATAGCTGCATGTGTGCAAGTGGCGAAGTGGTGCTAGTGTGTGGGGTGTAGGTGTAGGCGTTGTTTTGACAAAGATTTAGCCAGCCAAGCTGCAGTCGTGCACTTTACCAAACAGCGCGTGAAAACGTTCTGGGGCTGCGATTAAATAAACAGGGAACACCAGGACATTAAGGAGCTCAAATTGCAACAATTAAGTTAAAGTCCTCGTTATGAAGTCAGTACTTGACTTGCCATGCCCATTTAAGAGGTTTTTTCCAATATTAAAGGGAGTCTTAAAAAAAAAAAAAAGATTTTAGAAAAGACAACACCGAAAAATGTTGTAAATAAAGATGCAAAGTCGTGTTTAATATTTAGAAAACACTAAATTTTCAGGTGCTTAGAATTTTAAGTTTAGATTTGCTTTCGGAATTGAATTCAAGTCTTAAAATGTGTTGTGCATTTTTAATAACAAAACTTACAAACTTTTAACAAAAAAGGTTCTTCTTTTTGTAATAAATATGTAATCTTATTATTGAACGTATTGAAAAACACTTGCATAACAAAAAATCAAACCAAACAGTTTATCAAAAGAATTGGGCATTATCTTCTTTTCTTTTTTTCACAAAGAACCCTCTCTAGAGCTAAACAATAAAAGTTATTGTAACATTATCCAATATTATTTGTTATTATCCTCTGTAAGCCAATCATTTTTAACCAGATCATCGCAGCCAGATTGCCTTACCATCCCGTCTTCCCCCATTAAACGCCAAACAGTTGCAAAGTCTTTTGAGGATATCAAAGACCTTTTGGCCTCACCCACTCATTAGGACTATTTGCTGTCCTGGGGGGTAAGACACCCCCATGCTGAGGGTCCTGGCAGGGCGTAACGTGAGATACTCCCCTCCCATTCGGCCTCACTTGTCTTTATTTGTTTGCCCTTTTAAAGGACGATTTTTTTGTTTTCTGTTCGAGAAAGAAAAACACACCAGTATTCTCACGCGAATCAATCGACAAAACCTGTCTATTTAAGTAGCAGACTCTTTATTTGCACTGAAATCCAAGACGATTTCACGCTTGAATTTTTATTTTCGGTTACAGAGTTCGGTATTGGGTATTGGTATCCACGCACCCTCGACTTAATTAAATTTTCACTGCGGCTTCGTCAACTGCAAAATCAAACAGACGCGAAAAAAAACCAGAGGTAGATGAAAACAAAAAAAAATATCATATAGCTTGTTTCATTTGTGAAAAAAACAGCAGGTTGTCCCAGGTTGTCATGTCAACGCATCCTGATCCCCTTTTCCCTCCACCTTTTTTGTTTGCGATGCCCCTGATTACATTTTTTCCCATTTTTCATTTGATACTTTTATTTGCTCAGAACTGACAAATGGAAAACCGCACAGTTTCCACTTGGTACCTGACTCACTCAGTGAGTGGAATACGATATCTGGTTTTAATAAAGCAATTATTTAACGAAAACTATCTTTATGCCACTAAAAAAATATCTTTGTGCATTTGATTTATAATTTCTTGTGTTTTCTGCGATCTTTTCTTGCAGTTTCCAAACGTGGCGTAGCCTTGTCGAACGAAACCGATCAGGACACGGGCTCCGAGTCCGGATCGCCGAGCAGTCCCCGTCCTAAGGTCGCAGGACTCTTCAATCTGACCGCCAGCTTGTCGCCCGCCCGCACAGGACCGCCCAGCTCTCCGGAATCCGATTTGGATGTGGATTCGGCGCCGGACGAGGCTACGCCGGAGAATTTGAGTCTCAAGAAGGAGGACAGTCAGTCGCCGCCAAATACGCCCGCCGAGAATCTGCACTTGCTGCGATCCTTTAGCAGCAGTCATGCCCAGGGCTTCCTGCCATATCATCACACGCAGTTCCTGGCCGCCGCCGGTTTGCCTGCCCACCACCACCCACCGGCGCACTCGCCGCACCACCAGCAGCAGCAGCAGCAACAACAACAGCAACAGCAGCAACAGAATCACATCTCACAGCACCACCAACAACAACAGCAGCAGCAGCAACAACAACAGAGATCTCCCATTGATGTCCTCATGAGGGTATTTCCCAATCGCCGGCGCAGTGATGTGGAGCAACTGATGCAGAGATTCCGCGGCGACGTCCTCCAGGCCATGGAGTGCATGTTGGCTGGCGAGGATTTGGGTCAGACACCGCCACAGGTTCCGCCCTCACCGCCCTTTCCCATGAAGTCCGCCTTTTCCCCCCTCGTACCGCCCTCCGTCTTCGGCTCCCCCACCCATCGCTACCATCCCTTTATGCAGGCTCATGCCAAGCGATTCCTCACTGCTCCCTACGCCGGAACTGGTTATTTGCCAGGAGTGCTCAGTGCGGCGGACATCGAGCAGTCGGAGTCCAATGGAGCAGGTGGCATCGGACTGGATCGCACCAGCAACGCCGGGGATTCCCAGGATTGAGGCAGCGAGGCTGAGGCCAACGGCACCGCCGTCTTCAGGCCTTTCGAGTAAGATTTCCTGGTGTCCCAGCACTGGGGAAAACAAATCACTTCTAAAGTCGAGAATAAAAGTCTAGGATCGCAGTGTTACATTTCTTATTTTGTTGCTTAAATTCGATTCGATTCTATATAATTTTTCCAATATTAAATTTGTTTGATTAACAAGATATTCATTCCTTTAAAAGAAAAAAATTACTATATTGTTTTTTTTTTATTATTATTTTTACTACTTTTGACTTAAATTAAAAAAAAAATTATTCTTGATCTTAGAACCATATTTTTCCCCGTGTAAATTCCAGATTTGTCCTAGCTTTGCCTAAAACTAAGTGTAAATTATATTTACCTTTGAACTTCTAACACGAGTATTGTAACATAGAAAACGTAATAAAAATATATCTAATAAATTACAATTTAAGAAAACCATACACTCGATCCCAGTAAAGAGCCATAAGATGTATTTGATTAGCTGAAATTAATATAATAAAGGAGATGAGATTATTGTTTAAGATTTTGTTTGGTCACAGCCAACTAAATGAGATATCCGTGTGTACCATATAAACAAATAGCGTATATATAAAATTATATTAAATATCATATTATGTCTTAGATAAAGTATATTTCAAACACTGTGTTAAAGTATTTAATAAATCTACAAAATAATTCAATAAAACTAAATGAAGAAATTAAATGACGTTTGTTTTTATGGGAACATCTTTGATGCATACCTTAGAATGGAAAACCTATACAGAAACTTAAGTCCTTAAAATGCTTGTTGATAACAAAGGATTTATACAACACAATTATGTTTTTGTATTATAAAAAAAGAAAATAACTAAAAAATATTATATTAAACTGTTGAGTATATTGAATAGGCAATTCAATTGTTTTGCTAAACATGTAATTCATCCCCGCATTGTTTTCAATCGCTTAGAGGTCCAATTATATCGATTAGGGGTCTGCTTAATGGCCGACTAATCAGATCAATTAATAAAAATATTTAATTGAAAACTGCTATTGTTTGGCAATCGCCCAAGACCCAAGGAAAGGCTAAGTAAATACTTAATTTTCACAGCACGTAATTTATAATCGTGAGAATTCAACCCGAGAACAATGGGCTTCCCGCAAACAGCCCCCCACAAATACAAGTCTACTGTAAGAACGACCAATTGTAGAGGCCACCCACGACCCAAAAATCCCAACTGGTCATCACAATGCACGAGGGCCGAATACTATAATAATGCGAAGCGTTAATCCGTATCATCATTATCTATTTGCCACTATTTTGAGGGCAATGCCACATGAACCCCGGAAAACACCAGGATAACTATTCCGCATGACCGTGTGCGGAAAAGTGTGAAATCCTTTTACACATAAACGGGTCGAGCTGTTTTTGTTTTCCCAACTCGGACACACGACACGATAAACAAAATTATATTAAAACTAATGCCCACAAACTCGCACACATGACCAGCACATTTCCACAGTCCAAACTTTACAATGGCCAAAGGACCCAGCGACTCACACCCACGAAGGGACAATAATATCGGTTACACACATGCCGAGTGCAAATTACAAAACTATTTTCCAACATGCGACTGAATGGATAACAAAATTAAATTATTGGATATCAATTTGTCCATTGTGCGCCTTGCCAAACTCGAAAAGTCAACAGCAACAAGGAGGCTGGTGGCCGGTGGCTTGTGGCCAGGATGTGTGGCCAGCTATATCAGCCATGCCATATTCCCCCCCGTGTTTGTGTTCAGGGACCGAACAATGGACTCTATGTACCATTGTCAGGGTCCAACAATGCCGGTGGCTTAGGATAGCGCAGCCACAGGATCCTCAGTTCGAGTGGACAATGGCCGGCATTAAAGGCAGAAAGGACGAGTGGGGTTGCAAGGGGGGAGGGGGGTAAAGGACACACTGGTGAGCTCGGCCAGTCAGTCAGCCGCTCGCTGGAGGACGAGCTGTCGATAATATCTTAGAGTAGCAGCGGCCCATGTAGTTATGGACGAACAATGAAGCTGGAGGAGAGCCAAGAGCAGAGATGTTACCCTAGCTATTTTCTGGCAAGAAATATAGTTTTTTTGAACTTTGGAAAACATTAATAATTTAGAATAGCCAATAACCTTTTTTTCTTACTTACTGGGTTAAAAATTATATATAAATATTTAAGACCATATATAAATAAATATAAAGACCATTTTTATAAACCTTTCTTAGTATTTAATTCGAAACTAGTGCATCAGAAAAAAATAGCAAACAAAAAATTAATTAAACACATAATTTTTTAACATATCTTCCTCCCGTTTTCTTTTGTCCTTGGAAAAAGTAGCCAAAGGTATCCCAAAAAGCCGACAACACTGTTTGAGACCAGGAAGCAGGAGCAAAAACAGCAGCAGAAGCAGAAGCATCAGCATCAGCGGGAGCAGCGGGCAACATGCATATGCTCCTCGAGTGGCGGCACAAAATGCATACAATGTCAGGCATGGAAATTCTTGATAATAGACAATGAATTAATAGCAGGCGATTTAACCAGAGGGGGAGACAGTGAGGCAACAAACAATCCAATCTCCAATCCAATGCAGCCAACGAAGCGACCAGCAAATAGACAGATCGAACCTTAGATACAGCCCAAAGGCATGGCAATGGGAACAAAGTACAACAAATTGCAGGAGTTATTCGGAAAGGGTTCTGAAATTCCTATTTCTTTTACTGCTGGCAGATGGCACATGCCTCTTGCGGCTTGCAGAAGTGCCGTGACAATTAAAAAACAAACGAGCGGCAAGCTCTCCGCAAAGAAACGCCCAAGAAGCGGTCCACCCCAAGGCCACGAATCGAATCCTTACCCAAAAAGGGTTACTTAACAGCTTAAGATTAACCGGGGCATATGTTTTTTCCTGGCTAATTCGAGGGTGGTCTACCATGGATTTCCCCCCCGGCATTAGTTTCACTTATTTGTTATTATTTGCTTTTCCACATTTCGAATGTCGATGGCCCATGATCGCAAGATGCAGCGACTCATTGGGTAACCCAACCTGCCGCTTGTCAAGCGGAGGGTCAGAGGCCATATAGCAACAACTAATTTGGCAGCCCCCAAAAACAGCCTCCTCCTCAAAATAAAAAAAAAATAAGAGACGAAGCTGTTTTGTTTTTCCAACAGACAGCGCGGGGAAACAGCCGAAGGATGAGTGAAAAAAAAACCTAGAAAAGAAAACAAATGCCATTTCAAGTAGCAAACGTGTAAAGTAGGTGGCCCAAACCTTTTTGCCGAGACTCAAAAAACACAGTGGAACCAGCTATGGGAAACGGAAATTTAAGTGATTAGATAGGTTAAGGATAAGGTTAAACAATTATAAGGCAAATAATGGACAAAATTCTTCATGTCGTACCATTTAATAAAAATCTTAATCGATTTGCATTTTCAACTGGTAAGATCTTCTTTGTTTGAAATATTTTAGGCAGTAGATCAATGTATTCATTTATAAAACATTTTATCTCTAACTATATCAATATCAACAGTTTTATACAATACATTTAAAATAATAATCTGCCACCACTGTACTTAGATTTATTTTTGTGGCCGGGGCAGTTTGTCAGTCAGTCACCGTCACAGTCACAGTCGGCTAATAAGCAGAGAGTCCATCAGAAACAGTGAAACCTGCGCGGCGGCCTGTTGGGCAACTGCCAAAACGATGAGAAATCAATTTTTTTGGATTCATTTTCGGATCGCCTGGGTTTGTTTTGCTTTTGATATTCGGGTTGTTGGTTGTTAGTTGTTAGTTGTGTTTGCCGCCCAAGCAGCCAACACATGATACGACCATTTGATTTCCATGTGCGCATCTGTGAGCTGTGAGTGCGGATGGGCCTGGGTTCGTATGATTTAATACAGTAGCTGGGATGGATGCCTAATGGCTCACCCCGAAGACCTGTTCTTTGATGCACTCACTGCGCGGTTTGTTTACACGAAATTAAAAAAATTCATAATTTACATATTGTGCGTGTGTGTTTTGGTAGGTGTTTTTTGTACCACTGATTTTTTACATTTGCTCGAGGCCCGCTCAATAGGAGCTGTTCGATTCCGCTTTTATCCCAGCCGACATGTCAAAAAGCGGACCCCCTCTTTATGGAAATGTGTCGCTGATGATGGCAACTGTACCTTAGGATATTTTTATATTTTTTTGATTTTCAAAACCCATCCAAACTATGGGAGTTTGAGGAGTGCTAAATGGTTTTTAAATAGCGTGGGACGGATTCGGGGTTGTTGCACTCCATTGTTTGCATATCCACGATCCTCGTCAAACGTTTTGATTTTGGTTTTTCAACTGCGTAAATGTCACGTGTGTCCTCGTCTGTCGCCTGTCTCTGCGGTTGACATCGACGTGTGATTCCGAAAGGGGAGGTGGTTGGGTGGTGCAGTGGTTCAGTATCTCGGCGGTTCGGTGGCCCAGTGGTTGCGATTGGCCTAACTGAAATGGGGTTAACCGAGTTAAGAGTGCGATAAATATCTAAATGCCGAGATTTGCCTCATCAAGGGGCGTTGATGTTTATCCAACAGTGTATTGTTTGTTTAATTGACAACGCATTTGGGCTGTGAGTGTGTCGAGTCCTTTGTGCAGGACACGTGGAATGCTGCGGTCTGGTCAGGTTTGATCTGACTTAGGCCCGCAAATAATTGGCACGCGTGAATCAAGTAAGATGTGTGCTGATATCTATACAATCTAGTTTGTTTGATGTTTTTTAAAGGTATCAATCTATTTAACATTTTAATTGTGTATTTTCCTAGACCTCAAATCCAAATCATTATGCTAAATAATTATTGAATTATAATAACTCAATGACAAAATACATGTCTCTTAAATTTTAATTGACAAGAGAGATGAGTATTATTTTGTTTTTCAAAATTGTTGTACATTTAAGAAGTCAATAATTACGTTTAAGTAAATTTTGGGAAACAATGGCGATTATACCCTCAAACACCTTAAAAAATAAATTGCAGTAGCCCAGAAATGCCCGACACTAAAAAGCAATTCTCTCCACTATATCCCTGCACTTGAGCCACAAAAGCCGGATGAAAAACAAACCAAGTACAATATTCAAAATAAATGCTCAAATAATAAAGCGAGCGAGGAGCAACCGGAGAACGGAGCACGAAAAT